GGTCAAACGTACTGCCAGTGCTTCGTCTCGCGCTTTGAAGCTGCAAATGGTTCACGACATCATGTTTGTCCGCCTGTTTACCACAATCAGATGAAATAGGTGAGGCGCCTAATCCTGAGCCGTACCATCAATTACTAGCTCTCCTGTAGGTATGAAAGGGAGGAGGCAGTGAAGGGTTAGGGCCTGTCCCGATCTTAATAACCCAGTTTTAGTTTTTGGAAAATTGGATTATATCTCTTTTTGAAGGTTTCCTGCAGCATTGGGAATTCCATTTATCTCGTAAACATTTGATTACGATATCAATGGGTTTTTTTCCAGATTCCATGCTCGTGTCATTGTGTAAATTTCTTATCAAATTGTCAACGAATGCCATCGACATGTTGAGCAGCTACCTCAATCGCCTCTCAAGGGAGCATCGTTACGTGGCGTATGTACTGAGCAAAGAAAAGGAGAAGCTGAAAGAAGGACGAAGCGAGGTATCAATTACATATTGATAGTCAAATATGCTATAAGATCAGCGGCGTAAAAATTTGAGAGGCTGTCCTTTACATGTGTATTGATCGATTTGTTGCGCCTTCAATTGAGCTGCAAATTGAAAAAAAGTTTCTCTCAACAGCTTCTGTTCTAGTCACTGTCGGACACCTCTGTGCGTCTAACTGATCTTCGTCACCGAATGAACATGGACGGTTTGTTGCTGGTGCAGTCCGAAGCAGACATTCAACGGTAGGACCGATAAGTGTAAATCATCTGGAAAAGTACTGAGTGGTTTGATTTCCAGAATGGAATCGGCGGCGTTGACTGACTGGCAACAACGATCTGTAATGGCCAGGCTGATGAACGCGTTAGGCAGCTGTGTGGCTGCGAACACTGATCTCCTTTGCTACTTCCTTGCTGTACTTGCACACGCCAGCGGCGGAGGTATGAGCCAAAATTGTGAAAGCGACACTGATTTGGTCTAGTAATTTTGATATACCACGCTAAGGGGTCATCCGTCGGTCCGGACGATCGGACGATTTAAAAAACGATTTCAAAAACTTGACTCTATCAAGGGGTTGTATCAAACCGTCTAGAAGGGGGTTGTGAAGCTTTAGAATCTGTGGAGCTAAACGGTTGACCCGCCATCTTGTGATTCAATTATGTCTCATTCAGGTCTGATCAACTCTTCCCCTGCCACTAATGGTGTTCCTCTGGGGAACGCTGTCGAATCCTCGTCCGAGCAAGTTTTTCTGGGTGGCAATGATAGCGTACACCGAGTTCGTGGTAAGTGCTTTATTGCGTAATATTTTTTTTTTTTTTTTTGAGGTATATTTTCATAAGAAAAGATGAACTCATTGAGAAGGAGAAATGAGCTTTAAAAAAGTCCACAAAAGTAGAATCGATTTTTGCTGGTATATAGGGTTGATGACCCGCGCTGTTGTAGACGCTGCTATCATTGTTTCATGATTGAGGCGATACAGTCTGAATATTGACGTATCCCGTATGAACCTGTTTTATTGATCGATAATTCAGATTGGAAGGAAGTCGCTGTCAATTCCACTATATTCGAGTTCCCCAACAGCGTTTCAAACCACAGTCCAAGCAGGGCGCCCCATCATTGACGGGCAGAAGAACGGTCATGTTTTCATGGGATTTTCTGTAATAGTGGGGCTCAATGCTTTTGTCTTTGGTGCTCAGTAATAAACTAAATTCTGTAAGTTTTTTTAAGGGAAAGTTCCCGTATTCTAAAGGAACTTTTGAGAATACATATGTGTTTGCTGATGAACTGATTCAGGTGTTGGGTGTTCAACGGCAGTCGAATTTTGCGGCGTTTGACGTTCCTTTGCTGTTTGCGTTGTTTTTCCACAGATATATGTTGAGAAAATTGGGACTTTGGAAGGTGAGTGGGAGTTTTTTCATTTTTCTATTCTTGTTCATTTTGTTTCATTTTTTTTCGAGAATTCTCGGCGCTTCGTTTGACCTGGTAACTGCTTGTTACTTTGAGAACGGAATTCCGCAGTTGGTAATAGGGGAAAATTTTATTGAAGGTTTTCATTCGATATGTAAAAGTGTGATGATTTTCAGGATGCGAATCTTACCGTCACATTTAATCGACAATCCGACGAAGGAGGTGTGGAGTACCTCGGGGTTAGTAACTGTTTCAAAACTATCCTTTCAATTTAACTTAACTCCATATCTGAAAATCTTTTCCGGTGGTTTCAAAAAGGTAACGTTGCTGAAAATATTTCTTGAGCTAATATGACTCAAGGAATGCTCTTACTCTGGGCAGTAAGGGCACTATCTTTATATCTTCGGCTGTGGTTGTTTGATAGACATTATTTGTTTAAACATTATTTCATCTATTCATGTCTTATTTGTCTCAGGCTCATTATGAATTTAAATGGCTCAACGGCAGTGATTACTGTTAGTACATGACTTCTCAACACAATTCATCGCTCAACATCTCATCCATTCTGACCCTTTTTTTCAATTCTCAAAGTCTGAAGATCTGAAAATAATTGTAGCACCCTTATGATTACTTATAATGTGAGTGAGGAAGTCGGCATTCATGCGCTCTCGAGTCTTCCCCCCCCCCCTTATTCCCAAATTCTTTGTTGTCGACAAAAATTTTAAAACTTCATCTGTTCGTGTTCAGCGAACTCGTTTTTTTAATGGCATGTTTTCCTTATACACGAAAATTTTGACGCTCTCCAGGGTTTGCGGATACTGTGAAAATTTTGAGTTTTTTTTTTGGGAAAAATGTTGTATTTCCTGACGAAGGTCCTCAGAGAAATTCTCACCCCATAACTCTCCTAGGCCCACATTTTGGTTTGAACATTTCCCTTTTTGCACCCAGAATCTCTTTTCTGACCAATCATATGTACTACGAATGAGTTTCTTACAAGTGTAAATTTCCCAGCCTTGGCGCAAGATTGGCCTTCCAAATCTGTTCCAATCTCAACGCCAACTGGGTTCTTCATCTCCAGCGTTGGTATGTATCACTGCGGTGCATTTGCGGTGCTGTTTCTTCCCTGCATGATAGTGACAGTAACGGTTGAAGCCTTCTGGAGCAAAAGCTAACCTTCGACGAACATGAGTTCAATTGTATAATTTTATCTAACGCATTATGTTGTATTAGTTGACGTTTTCAGCCTCATTCCTTTTCCGAAGCTTGTAGATTTCCCTATCAACGAATTTCCTTTCAGGAACATGAAGGGCCTGCGAAAAATGCCGCCAAGGGTAAAGCAAAAAGAAAATCTAGTAAGGACAAGTCTGCTTCGTCTTCGACTCAACAATCAACGGAGCGGGCGGCGGACAATGGACAGTCTTTGAAGGCAGCTAAAACACAAATGGACATGGACCCTAATGCAGTGGCATCATCCGGAACCCAAGTGTCTCCAGCGCCTCCTAAACCCGCAGGTAGGAACAGTGTCATCCTCTGTTTCTGTTTTGAAATCGCAAGGCAAACATCCCTCGAGGTTCCATGATATTTTCAAAGTTTTTGAATATCCCTTGCTCTTCAGATGGAGATAGACTTGAAGCTGGCGTGGATGCTGATGCTGCACAGGCTCGTGCCGCAGAGGATCCAGATGCTGGGAGAAACCCTTTATCACGCTTTATTCTGCAACTTTTCAAGCCAAAATTCCGCTACATCAGGTAAAGTCACAAATGCTGTGATAACTGTGTACATAGGAGACTCACAAAGTTGCTTTTAGGGATCTCTACCCGATCATGTTTGGGTTGGACGTTATGGCATTTCTGATCATTGCTTTCGGTTATTCATCTTTTGGTGAAGGAATCAAAAAAGGGAAATAGTGAAAATACAAGAGTAGAAAAAAATATAAAAGGATGGAGAAAAAAAGAAAAAAGGAAATATAAGACAGAAAGAAAAAAAAAAACAAGAAAGAGGGAGACAGAATTTCGGATATGAACAAATACAAAACAAGTAATAAGAAGAGACCGGATTAAAGAGGAATTAGAGAGATATAATAGATATGACAAACCCAACAGAAAAAAAGAGAAGAATATGAATTGTTAGGTTTGTCATTTTGGCTGAAAATTGCGTTCATACTCGGCGATAGTGGGAGTAAGCCGCCCATAGATGACGAAATCGCAGTCCACGTTCTTTTTTTTTAAAACGCTTCGCGACGCTAAATGCTGATGGCTCTCTGCCATTCTGCTCCATACCGTCCTTTTATGATGAGCCTAGCGGTAAGACTCCTATGCTTTGTTGCCGGCTCAACAACCTGTTTATGAAGTGAAGACGCGGTCCCTGAATTCATGAAGAAGATGGCAGAATTTTGGCATAGTGCTTGGGATCATTCATTCTGTGCAGGGAGGGGAGGGGGGAGGGAATTTGTTGGCCCATGCACATCAGCGGTTTTTTTCTCGCACAAATTGTCGCCGCTGGATTTTACAGCAGAATTTTTTTTGAAATGTCCTTCCAAAATAAACGCAAGCCCTCCTTCACTGCCTTCACCGTCTTCAGAATGTGACTTCACCTACCATCGTCGTCGTGCCCAATGCTTGGGAATGCTTAGGCCTGCAACTGCTACATGATTTCTCGAATGGATTTGCTGGTGGATAGTTTCCCAGTTAGTAGCTCTGAATGTCATGACCCATCCCGAACAAAGTTTCATAAACGTCGTATTTTCCACGATCCGTCGAGACCTCCTCGAGCCCAACCTGCGCACCATGTTTCTGTAGCACTTTCTTCTGATGTCGTCCACGTAGAGAGGCATTATGAAGTTAATTCATAAAATTGAATGTGCTCTTCAATTTTCATTTGGGAGCATTTGGTTTGAATTCAGCAAAGTGAGATGATTCCGTGTTAAATGCGGAGATGAAATGTCCTTCTTGTTGCCCGTCCCCTTGTGTTCATCTCCTGCCGCTTCTAAATGAGCTGCGCTTATCCGTCCCCCCTCTTTACCGCTTGAAATCACTCCAATACGTAATCGCTGATAGCACGCTCTCTTTTATCAATGATAACGATCAATGATAATGACTTGTAATCAAAACGTGAATGATAGTTATCATATCCACATCAATGGGCCCCGATATGAAATCGTATCGCGAAACAGTTGCTATTATGTGAGTCTTACAGTCAAGTCGGATTCCGCTGACGTTCGTCGTGATGCTGATTGTGATGACGTTGATGATTGTGATTGATCGCGCCCTGTATCTTCGCAAATGGGTCTATGGAAAGCTTGCCTATCAGCTACTGATGATCGTGTTCCTTCACATATGGATCTTCTTCTTTTTGCCGTATCTGACTCGTCGGTACGTTTACTGACATTTTTTCCAGAGAATTCTAGGGTTGGTTAGGCGTTATCACAGAAACGGGGCAGTGCATTCGGAACCTAAACGTCACCTTTTTGTTAAAAACGGGACTGAACCCTGGCGGGAGGAGAGACTAGTGCGGGAAGCACTTTTCGTTTACCCAGATTCCTGCCCCCCCCCCCCCACGCTAATAGCCTTGGAGGGGACATCAGGACAGTGCATTCAACAGGACTAGGTAGGTAGGTGATCGGTGGCTAGGACTAACGATAAACTCACGAGAGAGGAGATACGTCAGGGTGAACAAGGATTTTCACACTCTCCCAAAATCTCGTCCCCCCTAACAATAAGCTGGGTCCCTAAGTACTATAAGTGGCTCACTCATTTGCAACCCTCCACCCAACGACAGACGATAAGCGCCCCTACATTCTCCTACACTTTGAAGGTA